CTCGTCGTCCTCGTCGTCCTCGTCGCCTCGAGCGGGCCCGCGTGCCAAACGGCCGCTGCGGGGCCATGGCAAGGCAGGGCACGGCAGCAGCCGAGACCCGAGGCGCCGAGGCCACCTTGCCTATGCCAAACTCAAGACCCAGCCGCCGTCTCACTTTATCGTCTCACTTAATACACTCTTACGCCAGGGAGATCCATTTTGTGGGGTTGCACTTTTGATTTTGCGTAGAGATCACAGCAGGGTGAGGGGGAGCGCGAGGGCAGCGGCAGCGGCGATGGCAATAGCGAGTGCGGGCGACTGCACCGCAGCGGCATTCTTGGCGGCGGACTGGGAGCTAGCATCTCCGGCCTGCGAGTTGGTACCATTTCCGCCCGTGTAGGGCGGAGTGGCTTGAAGGGAGCCATTGCTCGTCACGAATTGGGGCACGCCGATGGCGGGCGAGTACGAGTAACTCGGCGTGGTGGTGTTGGTGATGCCGTCCCAGCACCACTTCTTCATGCACTGGTCGCAGACCTCCGGGCGTGGAGTATTGCTGCGTTCGAATCCGCGCTGGGCCAGAGCGCACCCTAGACACGTCGCCCATTGCGAGTCGGCACCGCCTAGCGAAGCCACATCGACCGAGTTGTCAATCACACCCTGCGCCTCGCTGTCGGAGTAGTCGAGTTTGAAGGTCGACGTGTTGGCCAGCGCCGAGTACGGGTAGCTGGGCATGTAGATGACGATGGGCGTCTTGGAACCGTTGAACGCCGTGTCTGCGTTGGTGACATTGACGTTGGCGTTGCAGCCGTAGAAGACGGGGCGCGTGTTGAGGCCGCGGTTGACAATGGTGTTGGTGTCGGGTACGACGGGGAAGGCGTACTGGCTGTAGGTCGGGTATTGTGCGCGCAGCGAGGTCTGGTACAGCGCCGACCCGTTCGGCCAGTTGGTAATGTCCGCCGAGCTATCGATGGCAATGATCGCATCCAGCCCGCGCGCCGGCTCGACCAGCGGCCACAGCGGCACGTTCTCGTTGTCGAGACCACCGTCGACGAGCGTAATGTTCATGAGCTTGGTCACCTCGAGCGTCTGGTCGCCCTCGCCCTCGTAATTGTAGAAAGGGTTCGGGACCGTCGAGACGTCGTTCTGTTCGTTCGACACGGCTTGTGCGATCTCCTTGAGCGCATTAACGATGACGCTGTCCGACGAGGACGAGACGAGCGACAGATACAGACCTGAGAAGAGCGTGGCCGAGGTGCCCGTTACCCATGCGACGGTCTGATAGCCGCCGACGCACTCGCCGCCCGGAAGCACGCTGGATCCGTTGTTGAGGCTCGAGCCGAGGATCTCGATGGGAATGAAACTTGAGACGTTCGGATTCCACGAGCCGAACTCGTATGGGCTGAACTCCCAGAGCGTGGTATTGCGGGGGATGATGAGCTCGCCCGGCTCGCGCTCGTCTGCAATGATGATGGGGAAGGGCATCGAGGCCGATGTGAAAGACGAGGTGTTTTTGACGTCGCTCCACTCTACGCTAAACTTGTTGCCGTAGGTGGAGCCGTTGAGGATCTTGTCGGCGATGGAGAGACCAAAATAATCAGTCAGGCTCGTTTGATATCCTTCGGTGCGCTTACCCGCGACAGCAGCGACGATCGAGGCGTAAAAAGAGACCTTTCCGTCCTCGGGCACGACGAGGTTCGACTCGAGGTTCCACACGTCGTCCTTGAGAGACTGGGTGGTGGCCCAGTTGTTCATGGCGAGCGAAGCTGTGGCCCACGAACCGCCCGAGAGGCCGGCGACGTACTCTGCGAGTTGGAGGAGGCCGCCGGTGCCGCGCTGGTTGGCGGTGGCATTGCGGCCGTCGAAGCCCTGAAGCGTGCCGGAACCGACGAGCATGGCGCGCAGACCACCGCCGCTGAGCGCAAAGGCGAGGCGCGGAAGGCGGTCGCTCGAGGAGGTGTAATTGGAGGCGCCGCCAGGTAGGACGCTGTCGAGCTTGGCCGCGGAGAGCCATTCCTGCCATGCCTGCTGGGATTGGGTGCGGCGGCGCGAGATGTAGTTGGCCTCGTCGGCGTTGAGCTGCTTTGTCCTTGCGTTGCGGATGAATCCGGGTCCTTGCTGCGAGGTGGTGTTTGGGCAGGGCATGTTGGCGGGAGCGTAGGAGCCCGAGGGAGAGGCGCGCTTCTCAAGAGCATCTTGACGAGCGGCAAGCTGCTTCTCGTACTCGTATGCGGTGCGGATCTCGAGGATGCGCTCTGCGAGCTTGACACGCTCGTGACGCGGCAGCTGGCTGATGCGAGCGATCTCGCGCTCGTTGAGCTCGTGTGGAATGGAAGGAACTGCATCGACCCACTGGGCCGCGGCCGCCAGCACGGCAAGCACCGAGGTGCGCAAGGGCAGCTTCATGGTGGCCCAATTGCGTCGCTAGAGAGATGATAACGGAATGCGTGTGCGATGAGGGGGTTTGGTGGGGAGGAAGGTGGAGTGGTGGGAGGATATATATGGAGGCAAGGCCAAGGCGGAAGCGTAAGCTGTCAGCATCGAAGCGACGGCCCGGTCGGTTGGAGACGAGCTCAGGTCCGCGGTGTTGAGTTGCTGCGCGATGCTCACGGCTAGGGCTCGAGCTGAATGAAACCTCTCGACGATGCCAGTCGGCGGCTAGGGTGAAACAGAGCCCCGGCCCGACTCTGGACGAAAGACTCTCGACGAAAGCGGTGCTTGCTCTTGATGAACTGCCAACGTCCGCTGGCTGCTTCGGAAACTGCGTCGGAGAAAAAAAGTGACATGCAGCGAGCCTGAGCGAGCCAAAAACAAATACACCGCGCGATTTGCTTTGCGCATCAGCCGGAATTGCTCTTCCGACTCTGTTGCTGTGCCGACACAGCCGCATTGCTCGACGCACACGACCTCGTGCCGAGACGCAATGCCGACAGGAATCTGCCAAGCCACAGCTCGGAGCTTACTGTACTCGTAGCGAACGTACAGCATTGCTGGACCCCGCCAGCCAAGACTGGCAATCTCGGCAAAGCCGTCTGCATTTCCGACACTGTTGTGCCGCCTGTCGTCCTCGGTGTCTTGAGCACGCCGCTACAGTGTGTCCGTATGTGGCAGCATGACTGCATGCTGACCGTCTCGGGTGCATCGGGTGACCACCGACAGCTGTCTCCTTTGCACTTTCGGTGTGCGATTCGATTGGTGGTTGCGGCCATCCCACACCTCCATCAAGCGAATTAGAGAAGCTCGTCTGCGGCATGATGTCACGAGCAGGATGAAAAGCAAAATATGTTAGGCCTTTGTAGTTTACATCTTTGAAGGTAAATTCGGAGCCGAACGGCCAAGAGCGAGCAGAGGGGTGTCAGCGGTGCAAGAGCCACGCGGTGGATGTGCTCGATCTGGGCCGATGGCAGCAGCAGCAGAAGCAGCAGCAGCGCACGGGCATTTGGATTCGCAAGCAGGCGGGCCGCCCAGCACTGCCCACCGCACACACCACCTAAAGCAATCCGCGCTCCACACTCCACCGCTCCCTCCATCCACACTCGATCGCAGCCCCGCCTTGCCTCCTCCTTCATCCAACACGTAGCGCGGCGCGGCGACTTTCTTGTTCCTCCTCTTCCGCACCGCCACAGTCTTCGCAACCACACCATCTCGCCCACCATGTCGCGCTCCAACGTCATCGTGCTCGACAATGGTACCGGCTACACCAAGATGGGCTTCGCCGGCAACTCGGATCCATCCTTCGTCTTCCCCACCGCCATCGCCACCCGCACCACCGCAGCAGGCTCCTCTGGCGGAGCCGGTTCGCGGCCATCCGTGCCCAGCAAACCCGGCGGACTTTCCTCCTCCTCCTCGCTCGCCTCCAAACGCGGCATCGAGGATCTCGACTTCTTCATCGGCGACGAGGCCTACGCAAATGCAAAGACCTACCAAGTGGACCAGCCCATCCGCCACGGTCTCATCGAAAACTGGGACCACATGGAGCGCTTCTGGGAGCAGTGCATCTTCAAGTACCTCCGTGCAGAGCCAGAGGACCACTACTTTATGCTCACCGAGCCCCCGCTCAATCCGCCCGAGAACCGTGAGAACACCGCAGAGATCATGTTCGAGTCGTTCAACATCAAGGGCCTCTACATCGCCGTCCAGGCCGTCCTCGCGCTCGCTGCATCCTGGACCTCCAACAAGGTCACCGACCGCACGCTCACCGGCACCGTCATCGACTCGGGCGACGGCGTCACCCACGTCATCCCCGTCGCAGAGGGCTACGTCATCGGCTCGGCCATCAAGCACATCCCCATCGCAGGTCGCGACATCACCTACTTTGTCCAGCAGCTTCTGCGCGAGCGCGGAGAGGCCGCCAACATCCCGCCCGAAGACTCGCGCCGTGTCGCCGAAAAGATCAAGGAGGACTACTCGTACGTGTGCCAGGACATCGTCCGCGAGTTCCGCCGCTACGACGAGGACCCCTACAAGTACTTTGAACGCTTCCAGGGCGAACACACCGTCACCGGCCGCAAGTACGAGGTCGACGTCGGCTACGAACGCTTCCTTGCGCCCGAGATCTTCTTCAACCCGGAAATCGCCTCGTCCGACTTCCTCACGCCGCTCCCCGAAGTCGTCGACGGCGTGATCCAGCAGAGTCCCATCGACGTGCGTCGTGGGCTGTACAAGAACATCGTGCTCAGTGGCGGAAGCACCATGTTCCAGCACTTTGGCCAGAGACTCAAGAAGGACCTGCGTGCGATTGTCGACCGGCGTCTGGCTGCAAGCGAGACCGCAAGTGGAAGCCTCATGCGCTCCTCGGGTCTCGACGTCAACGTCATCTCCCACAAGATGCAGCGCTATGCCGTGTGGTACGGCGGAAGCCTCCTCGGCAGTCTGCCAGACTTCTACTCGTACTGCTACAACAAGCAAGACTACGAAGAACACGGCCCCTCGATCGTGCGCAAGTTCTCCGTGTTTGGAAGCGTCTAACTCTGGCGCACCATCCCATTCTTGCCAACACTGTGCTGGTCGCTGCTTTGATACACTTATGAACGAAAAAAAAAGCACTTTTACGATTGAGTCGAGGCGTGTGTAGACAAGTGATGTGCAGGCATCTATTCCCACACTCGGATTGTGCCTGATCTGTCCGCAGCGACGATGGCACGGAACGGCGCTTCCAACACGCCCACGGCCGTGACTGCGTCTGTGTGCGTTCTGGCCATGGCGGCATGCGCGGCCGCATGTGCAGGTAGCAGAGGCGACTTGAGACGGCCTGCACCCTGCCACGCCATCGCATGCACAAACCGAGCCGTCGTGCCAGCGCTCGGCGCAGCTGCCGTGAACTGCGACTGCACCTCCGACACGCCCGCACCGGCTGCTGCGAGTTGCGGGGCCACGCCGAATACGGCACTCTTGTCTGGCCGACCCAGGTCCCAGAAGCGCAGGCGTGCGTCCGAGCCGGCTGTGATCATGTAGCCACCCGGCCCGCCGGCCGCAGCGGGCGGCTCGGACGTCGTAAGCTTGCCAACGTCGAGCCAGCCACCGCCGTCTTCGGTCTGCGCGTCGCCGGTCTCGTCCCGTGTGGACGAGGGAGCGGGCGTGGCGGAAAGCGTGGAGCTCGAGTAGCCGTCCAGGCTGACGTACAGCGCCTTGACTGCACAGCTCGCCGCCGATGCCGCCGAATCCGGCTGGCGGGCGAAGGGGTCCGTGTCTCCAGCGACTGGCGGTTGCGTTTGGCGTAGCAGTCTCTCGATCGCCGCTGCTGCACCCGTCAACGCCGCATCGCTCGCACCGTCACCACCCGCACCTGCTTCAGGCACCGGCGTCAGCTTAGTCGATCGCCCGACCGTTTCGCCACCCTCGGCGTCGATGCGCGCTTCAAACGTCTCGACGCGCATCCCACGGTCAATGTCCCACGTCTCGACCATGACCTCGGGCTGCTCGACGCGCGCCGTGCCCGCCTCGAGGTTCGCCTGCCCCACGCGTTCGAACGCCACCAGCACCCACCTGCCGCGTCCCTTGGACGGATGGATGGCGATCTGGTTCACCCTGCACAGCACGCCCGCCTGCGTCGGCGCCACCTGCCACGCCCGCAGCCTCAAGCCGAAGCGCAAATCCCACAGACACACCACGCCCGCCAGCGTGCCCACGAGCAGCCATGCCTTCTTGCGGTCCACGCAGAGGCACGTGATCGGCCCGTACTCGACCGGATTACGCAGCGTCTGCAGCACCTGCATCGTGCGCAGATCCAGGATCGTCAGCCGGCTCAGCGACGTGCCCAAAATGAGGTGCGAGGCTGTCTCGGTGCTGCTCTGCACGAGGCAGTTGGCATACTCGTCCGGCGTGCTCAGCTGGAAGTTGGAC